GGGTGACAATAAGAGAGCTTTTTTTCACTCAGAGTCTAGACAGGGAATTCAACACAGATGTCTTGTTTGGTGTTGTTCCAGCTTTATTGAGATACTAAAGGCCCAGTGCAAGAATTCATGCACCAGTAGGGTCTCTTGGCCTAGCCAAACAACAGCTCTCTGACATCCCCCCAGGGGTCCCAGATTGTGAAATGGTGCAGGCTAGGCCGAGGGACCAAACTGGTGCATGATCAAGGCCAGGGAGGGATGTGGGAGGTTGGCCAGTTGGGGAGGGACTGTGGGAGGGCTCTAGGGCATGTCCGGCCCACCTCGCTCATTCCCGATCAGCTGGCAAGCTAACCTACCAGACAGAGCATCTGCCCCCTGGTGGTCAGTGCTCATCATAGTGAGTGGTTGAGTGGCCTTAGCATATCATTAGCATATTACGCTAATTGATTGATTGGTTGATTGAATGGCCAACCGGACAGTTAGCATACTGCAAAAACGGTTACCACCATAGCTAATACCTCCATCTTATCACATAATTACTATTTCTTTCTTCAACACAAGATGCTTTTAATGAATGAGCAGTAACAAAGCAATATTTATAGAGGAAGGATCAGGGTTAAAGGAACAAAATAGCTACTAGTGGCCATGGAAAGCCTTTTAATTGCTAGGCCTGCTGGACTAAAGGAAGAAATAACACCAGGATCAAAATGGAGCTATCTCCTCCCAGAGATGGAGTGTGAAAGTAAGAAGGAAGTGGGCAGGAAAAGCTGTGACCTCTACTTCTTCCCACCCTCTGTTTTTCCTGTGCCCCGCTTTGGATCAATCCATCCAGAAAGCACAAGACAAGGGAGCCTAGCCAGGGGATGGGGCAGAGAAGGGTAGAGAGGGCACTAGTCCGTTGGCATAGTAAACAGAGAAGAGCCAGAGTAGAACTTACTAAATGATTTCCAGGGTTTCTTTCAGCATAATTTTTTCATTAAAAAATACACTGCCTTCTAATTATGCTCTTATTAAGACAGAAAAGGATAATTTTTGAGGTTGGCTTAAACATAAGTGTGCACACAATTCATAATATTTACAAGATACTGAATATAGTTGGCAGATACACCACATATTTAAAACACGCACACACATATTTTATTGATTTTTTTTACAGAGAGGAAGGGAGAGGGATAGAGAGCCAGAAACATCGATGAGAGATAAATATCAATCAGTTGCCTCCTGCACACCCCCTACTGGGGATGTGCCCACAACGAAGGTACATGCCCTTGACCGGAACCAAACCCGGGACCCTTCAGTCTGCAGGCTGATGCTCTATCCACCGAGCCAAACTAGTTAGGGCATATTTTTTTCATCTAAATAATATATCAATATATTACAGTCATATATATAATATCTATATATATAAAAGCCGAAGTGACTGTTATGTCCAGTCAACTGAACTACCAGTTGACCAAATGACCAGTCAACCAGTTGCTATGACACTCACTGACCACGAGGGGGCAGATGCTCAATGCAGGAGCTGCCCTTGGTGGTCAGTGCACTCCCACAGCCAACCTCCCACAGCTGGCCAACCTCCTGCAGTCCCTCCTCCTGGCTTGCTGGCCCCAATTGGCCCCGATTGCCAGCCAGTCCAAGGGACCCCACCCATGCACAAATCTGTGCACCAGGCCTCTATACATATATCCTAAAATTTTCTGAAGTGTGAGTAAATATTTTTGCTGGATATCATTTAGCTCAAATTTTGGTTTTGCAGAATTCCAGGTACTGTTTTGCTCTATTGGAACTTTCTGGTACTAATTAGGCTGCTGATATGGCTTTAAATTCTTTCATGTTATCAGATAAGGTCATGTGTAAACAGCTTTATGGATCAATTAATCTATTGTTAAAGGCAGAGCAAATGTTGATATTCAAAAGGACACTTTCAAGCTCCCCACAAAAATTCAATGACTTACTAGTAGACTATCAAATTATGGTCCCTGAGAACTTGTTGGCCTTACCTAATCTTCCTGAATCAAAAACTCTGAGGGGTGGCCATAGCTGGTTTTGCTCAGTGGATAGAGTTTTGGCCTGCTCTCTATCCACTGGGTCCCAGGTTTGATTCCAGTCAAGGCACATGCCCAGGTTGTGGGCCTGATCCCAAGTGTGGGGCTTGCAAGAGGAGGCCAATCAATGATTTCATCTCATTATTGATATTTCTCTCTCTTTCTCCCTCTCCCTTCCTCTCTGAAATCAATACAAATATATTTAAAAACAAAAAAACAACAACTCTGCAGGGTAGAGCCCAGAAATCTGTATGCTAACAAGCCCTCTGGGTGAGTTTGATGGTAAAGTTGAAGAACACAAAACTCAACATTTTTTTTAACTTCCATATTGAAATAAATCAGTTGTTTCATTATCTTGATTTTCAATATTGTAACATTGTTCTTACTTTTTGCTTCATTTTAAAGTCAAATACCTCAATTTTCTCGTTTTTGACTCAACATCCATCAGTCCAAATGGAGATTATTAATAAGCACAATGACCTTAGAAGGATGGCAAGTCCCAGTGCCAGCAACATGCTTAAAATGGTAAGTCCTGTCTGATTGATAGATTGTTATCAATTAGCATCTAACCATGTAACAATGAATATTCAACTATGATCTATCTATGAAAAATACTCTAATCTCTTTATTTCCCTAGAAAAGTTACCATATTGGTTGATAGTTAAATGTAACACTGCATTTGAACTGGAAAACATTGACTCTCAATAAAGGATGAAAGTATAATTAATGGGCAGTGAAAGAAGCCTTGTAAATTATATTACTTGAGTAATTAGGTGCTAAACAACTAATAAAAACTTAAACTATATAATAAAATATGGTGTATGGGTCTAAAAATTATATTCTCTCTGTTTTTGGTGGGGTACCTACCCTCTGTGTTCCCACCTGCTACTGGTGGAAGTGGAATTCTTGCGATGTCATGAGAAAAGGAATTTTCTGAGACTCGTACAGGAAAACGAGTGCTATTTACTTGCATGGAATTAAACCCCTGGGTTTCCAAGGTCTCATTTCCCTTCATCTCACCATGGAAAAAGTCCAGCCTTATCTTCATCAGAGCTAGAATTTAAGTCACTGCCTAGCATTTCTGCCCCATATTAAAGCACAGTCCAGTGCATTCCAGCATCTGGCTAGGTCAGCTTGTGTTCCCAGCTGCAGTCCATTGCCTGTAAGGTCCCTATGGCCATGGGCCATGCAGCTGATAAATCTACATGGCTTTGGGAGTGCACAGTGAGTGATGGTCAAGGAGCAAGAGAAAACAAGGGAGCAAGAGCACAAGGGCAAACAAGCAAGAGGAACAAGAAAGAAAGAATTCTTTGTCTGGGGATTATAACCAGGAGCTTAACCAATCAACCCTTCAGGATTTCACTTGTTTGCAGTGTCTCTGCCTTTTTAGCCAATTATCTTTTCCCCAAGTTAGTACCTTCCCTACATCACCCCAACTTCACTGCACATTTGCCCAGCTTCCTTCCCCCAGTGATTTGCAGAGAATGGACCGCTGGCTCCCTGGGGAGTGTAAAGTTGCAGCTTCCTGGTTAAGCTGCCCAGTTGACCATGCCTATAATGTCTGACCTTCCCTTTGCTTTCTTCCTACTATTAATATTAATAAACATGTTAAGAGGGTAACACTGCTCTTCAGCTATGGTCAGGTCATATGTTATAGAATGTGTATGGGTTTAGGCCATACATTATGAAAGGGAGCATACACAGAAAGTGTTGATTAGCATGGTGGGGAGCCTGGAAACTGAAAGGTGAGGCAGTCTGAGGTATTTAGATGAAATATTATCCCAGGAGAATATGATCACTGACTCTAGGCTAATTACTTAATCTGAAGGAGCCTTAGCTTTCTTGGCTATTAGTGGAAATGATCATTAAACTTTGCTAACCTTTGTGAGGATCAGTATAGAAATGCTATTGTAAATGAAATTCCATTAACATATGAGATGTTCAGTAAAAAGTAGTTACTGTTTCTCTTCCCATTCAAGTATTTAAAGTGCTGTCATATGATGAATTAAATGTGTTCTGAATTTCCTCAAAGGGCTCAGCTAGAATTAACAAATCATAGGTATTTGGAAGTTATACTGTATATACTTCAAGAGATTTAAAAAAAGTCTATTTAGAAATTAGCTGTCTTGGGAGGTACTGAACATATACTTCCATTGCAGACAAAATGCATATTTTTTTGGAAGAGAGTCCTATAATAAATGAGAAATAGAATCCATTATCTTTCTGGTTCATGCCATTGCTGAAACACTATGAAAGTTGTTGCTAAATCTAGGCTATAGGAAGGAATTTTTCTACTGACCCGTATGTTTAGCTTTATTTCTGAGGAAGTGTATTGTGCCCAATGTACAGGACAAATACCTCCTGACCATAATAGCTAATTGACATTGCCTTCTCAAAGGTACAGACTGTCTGCTCTGTTCTGAACATCTCTTCATCTTAGACCGGAACTTTCCCCCCTCTCTCTAGAAAGCAGTGTATAGTAATTTTGGTTTAACTTATCTGAATTAGGCTAACACTCAATTCCTATTTGGATTTATTTTCCTATATCTTTCCTATTTTTGCATATGAGATAACGGTAGACATTTATTTTTCCACATATTTTGTACTTCACCCCGTTTTATTTTATTTAGTACAGCACAAACTTATTAATGCTTGTTATAGCATCTGGCAATATATTAATGTATATGAAGACTGGTGCAAAGGCAACAGACATTTTGAGAAAAACAGCACATACTTAGTTCTCATTTCTAATTAATTATCCATAGCCCCAAGCTGTGCTTATCCACTTAATTGGGTTTAAAATTTTTTTTTCCCTAAAATACTTTATCTGTGACCCCATATGGTAATATGCTTCCTTATAACTAAGTGATTTAGAAAAGCAAGAAATGTATCCTTTGGTAGAACAATGGAAAAATAAGAAATACTAGAAAACAATTCATCAAATAGGCAGTTGTTTTAAATGTGATCATATACATCATGATTGTGTCATGAATACATAATATTTTTATATGTTTTCAAATGTTTGTCATTTACATCAAGACATGGAATAACATAGTTGCAAGGAATGCTGCAAATTGGGCAAGCAAGTGTACCTTCTCTCACAGTCCTTCATCTGAACGACGAATCAGCTGTAAGTCACACTTCATCAATCAATAAAATCCAAAAATTAAGCTAAAATTCACTGAAGTGGTGAGCTATGGCAGCTTGGGAATGGTGATGGAGATTTTGTCTGTTGGTTTTGACGTCATGACCTATCCTCTCACCCAGGAACCTTGCTTCCTTTCTTGTATTCCTTTGTTTTCTTTTTTTAAAAACTCTTGCCCTAAAATGTCATTACTCCTGCTACTCCAAGAAAAAAGAAAATGACTCTAAGTTAGAGATCCAAGGCAAAAGCTATGGGGGAAGGAAGAGGAGACAACAAAAAACATTGTTTTAATTTTTTTTTTTCTGAACTTCAGTTCATGTAGATACTCATCATTCTTATTTAGTCACATGCCAAGTTTATTCCTGAAATCTAAAACAAACAAACAAAAAACCCTCTCACTTATTACATTGTAGTCAAATTTACCAGACTATAAATTCCTGGTGAAAAGAATTACTTATTTTAATATAACTTTCCAGGGCATAAGTGTAAATTATGTTCATGAAGAATTAACTCTCTACCTTACTTTCGAGGCCCTCAGTTTGCTCCACTCTGCAAGCCCACCGTACCCAATCCTGTCTTACACTTTTTTGCTAAAATCTGATGGGCCTCCTCGTCACCGCTCTTGCATTCATGGCTTTGATTTCATTTTCCCACGGGCTATACCATCTTATGTCTGATCTATTTGCTGTCTGCTTCACATGTGCTCCTCTTAATTCTCTAGCTAAAGAGCGGAAGGTCAAAATCATGTCCCCTATAGGCATACTATGAAGGCATAGCAGATAATAATAAATACTTGCTGTTTGTTAATTCATTTACTAGTGTTGCCAAAATGGTATCTGTGACTGTGTTAACCTGCACCATCAGCTTGAAAATGAATCATTATTTACATATTTTAAAGCTATTCATATGTGGTCGGGAGGGAGTGATTCCAATTCATAGAACTGAACTTTGGAAATTGAAATTAGATTTCTTCAATCAGTCAGTGAAAGATTTTGAAGGTGATATTGATCACAAAAACTAAAATATAATATTCTAATAGTTTTTGATGAGAATTATTTGAAACTACTGGTTTCACTATTTTTTCATTGTCTTTCTAATTTTTAGCCATTAGTTGTGGAGAGAATTTATACATGTCCAGTAGTCCCAAATCATGGTCAGATGCAATCCAATCTCTTTATGATGAAGTTAAAGATTTCAAATATGGATATGGAAGTATGCGAGCAAATGCTGCAACTGGCCATTACACCCAGGTAAAAATGTAATGACAAAAGTATAATGTTTTTTTTTCAACTACCCTCCCAGAATTATTTTTTTGTGTGCAGTTTATTCTGGAGATGTTAAGCATACATCTTAGCTATGCAACCTATATGTGAATATAAAAGCTGCCCTACTTTACAAAGTATGTGCTACCCATTAATGTACATAAACATCAACCCATTATCTCTTGGGTACCCACCAACTTCATCTGCGTATTGTGATCTCAATTTACCACAATGGATTTTTTAAATGACAGCTCTGAGAATGAAGTAATGAATGACCTTAATTATATTTAAGCAACACTTTGAACAAGTCTCAAGCTATTTTCTCTAGACTATCACAGGATGAAACACTGAAGAGAAAAATAATAAAAAAATTAACTCATATATGCAAGTTATTTTTAGTCATTAAGTAAGTATTTTTGTATTATATATATTTGTCCCCTAAGATTATCTACACACACACACACACACACACACACACACACACACACCAAGATCAATAGTTTCTTCTCTTTTCCTGCAAAAATCAAATTGCCCTTAAGTGACTACCCCCTTATTTCCCAGCATGCTATTGTCTATATATTTATGAATTTGAGTGTGATTCACTGTTATAACAAAGGTATCATGCATGTATAAAGCTTGTTGGATGTTAAATGAAGCCCCATAGCTGGAAGAGATATTTTAAAAGAATACTCGTCAAGTTTATAAATTTAAAAAATCCGAAGGCAACATTTTTCAGTTTTTAAAATTCCCTTCATTGATAACATCTAATAAGCAATTAAGAAACAAGCCCTACAATGTGAACAGCATGAGCTTAATTAAAATGACTATTTTAAACCTTTCTCTTACAGCTCGTTTGGGCCACTTCCCACCAACTTGGCTGTGCATTAGCCCACTGTCCTCACAGCAAACTTCAGTATTACTATGTTTGCCAGTATTGCCCCGCGTAAGTACAGCCCAAAGGGCCACTTTGATCATATGGTAGGCCAAATGGCCTGCACCTTGAGCTATAATCCAACTCCTTTCATCAATCTGAGGTTCTAAGGTAGCTTCATGGAGAGCTTTGAGGGTGGTTTTGAAGAAAGGAGAAAATTGGAAAAGACTGGAAAGGCCAAGCAGTGCATTCTAAGGATTGAAAGAGCCATGGAGATATTGGTAGCAAAGTCCAGAAAGAATGGGCTCTGTGGTCCACAAGGTTCAAGAATAAATGTTGGCTTTGTCACTTACTAGTTGTGTGACCTTAGTTCACCAATAACTTAGCAACTTGAAGCTCTTTTTCCTTATCTAAAAGAGACAATGGCAATACATTTCTTGCAGTGTTTTGTTTTTCCTCCTGAGAATTAGACATAATAAGCTATTTTAAGTGCTTAGCATAGCTCATGGTACATATTAGATTCTCAATGAAATAAAAATTCATCCAGTACAGAAGTAAGAAATACTCTGTGAGATGCCAAATCCAAAAATTCTTAGGAACCTTGCTACAAACCTATCTTCTGGTGGCATACCTTTGATTTACTGTGAAGATAGTGGAACCCCATCTTCTTTTTTCTGCATATATTTAAATCCTACCAATTTACCTTAAAATTGTCTTTGTGGACCTAACCTTCATATATGTCTCCCTTTTATAACATGTGACTCTTGCTATGTATTTTACTCCCATGGCATGATACTATATTACTTCGTGTTGTCACTGCTTCTGTCTTTCAAATATTCCATCGCCAGCGGGAACATGTTTGATACCATCAGGACCCCATACAAAATAGGGAGACCATGTCAAGACTGCCCTCATCATTGTGATAATGGGCTTTGCAGTAAGTACTATTCATTCTGCATTTTTATGTGCTGATGTCTGCATGGGCATGACCTTGCTGAGTATAACAGTCTCAGAATCTGCCCTGATATATGAATGACCTCATTCTGCTTCTGCCCCCCACCCCGTTTCCTACTTCAGTCTTTTTGATCTTGGCAATAAAAATGGAGCTAAAGGCCAGTTGGTGTGGCTCAATGATTGAGCATTGACCCATGAACCAGGAGGTCATGGTTTGATTCCCTGTCAGGGCATATGCTCAGGTTGCAGGCTTGATGCCCAATGGGGGGCATGCGGAAGACAGCTGATCAATGATTTTCTCTCGTCGTTGATGCGCCTCTCTCACCCTCTCCCTTCCTCTCTCTGAAATCAATAAAAAACATATTTTTTTTTTAAAAAAAAGAGAGCTAAAAATGAAAGTGGTACGTTCAGCTACCATTTGAGAGTGATGGCTACTAAATTAAGATAGACTTTGAGGTAGTCATGCAAAGCAAAATAAACCATGCCAGTGTGGAGATGAAATTGCCCTTTAAGCCCTTCTAGTAGTCAGTTCTCAGTCAGGGTGGTGAAAGGTAAAATTACTTGAAACTCACTATACAACCTCAGAGAGGCTCAGGCTTGATTTGCTGTTGCTCCTAAATGAAAGCCAGGGAATAAAATAAAGGAAAACTCCATGTTGTTCTCTTCAGTATGGCCACCCCCCCCCCACACACACACACAGTCACACACACACACAGTCACACTCACACACAGTCACACACACACAGGCACACACACACACACAGTCACACTCACACACAGTCACACACACACAGGCACACACACACACACAGTCACACTCACACACAGTCACACACACACAGGCACACACACACACACAGTCACACTCACACACAGTCACACACACACAGGCACACACACACACACAGTCACACTCACACACAGTCACACACACACAGGCACACACACACACACAGTCACACTCACACACAGTCACACACACACAGGCACACACACACACACAGTCACACTCACACACAGTCACACACACACAGGCACACACACACACACAGTCACACTCACACACAGTCACACACACACAGTCACACACACACACACAGTCACACTCACACACTAGCATACACTCACATATTCTGCCACCTACACCACTTACTTCCTTCCTCACAGCTACATTTCCTGGGAAGCAAGCACCTACAAAAGAGCTTTGGACTGCTTCAAGCACATGCATTAAATGTTCCTGCCAGTCTTCTAGGAATCCCCAGACACTACATACACATATAAAATATCCACCAGAGCTACTCCTGGGGTAGGATACTAATCATTTGTATGGCTTGGTAAATGGGTATGAATAGGATTTGTCTTCCATTTGCTGCCCTTGCCCCTTTGTACAACCTATTCATTTCACAAGTAGATATGGCAGCACTCATACCCACAGGGCTAAATAAGTAGCGCCTGAAATATATTGTTAAAAATAAAAAAATAATTATTTTATTTTGTTATTTTGTTACTATGCACCTTGTTGGAACACGATAGTGAAATTTATTTGATGTCATAAAGTTCTGGGTGTGTGAACTCTGTCTGCCACATCAGGTATATTTATTAAGCAGTTTAAGGCTATTAACCCCCATGTGTGTGGTGAGCTTTGAATAAGAGAGTATATAAAGAATAAATGGGTTTCTCCTGAGATAATGTAGTTTTGGATAACTGATCCTTCAATCCAAGAAGCAGCATTTAATTTACTTTTTATTTCATTTTAGCCAATCCCTGCATGAAGGTGGATAAGTTCACGAATTGTGAATATTTGGTCAGACAAGTAGGGTGTGATGACGCACTCACAAAAGCAAAATGCCAGGCCACCTGTGAATGCCCTTCTTCAATTAAATAAAACACATTTTGAGGCTGATTCTTCATCTCAAGAGCAAAGTGACTCCACTTAAAAACTACTGTAAAAATGTCATTGTCTTTTTCTAAATGATCAAATAAATTTTGAAAAAAAAATCTTCTATTGACTATGTCCTCTTTCATCCATTCAATTTGAGGATATCTGAATAAAGAAAACCAGGTAACAAAAACAGTACATTTAGTATCTGTGAACTATAAATTAAAAATATAATGCTAAATCTAATAAATTCTTTAGTCATCATAATTGGTAACATGTGCTAAAAGCTTTTGTGCAACTTATGAATAAATGTTTTCAAAGCTTTTAAAACAAACTCTTTCCTTCACTAAGGCATTAAACAATCCATTGATGAGCGTATGCACTCGTATCCTAGAAGAGCTCTGTTTTGGCTGGTGTTCATAGGACAAAGATGACAGGGAAAGATGCCGATACCAATGATAATTTAAAATATAAACATATCTAAGTCTGTTGGCAGAAACATGAAAGAATTTGCTAAAGTGATAATTCAAAAACACTTACCCAGTCACTAGACCTAAATGAATTCATGTATTTGGCTCCCCCAGTTGAGGAGGAGGCCATGGCTATGTCCCTAGAGCAGTGATGGTGAACCTATGACTTAAGCGTGTCAGAGGTGACATGCAAACTCATTCTTTTGGTTGATTTTTCTTTGTTAAATGGCATTCAAATATATAAAATAAGTATCAAAAATATAAATCTTTGTTTTACTATCGTTGCAAATATCAAAAAAATTCTATATGTGACACGGCACCAGAGTTAAGTTAGGGTTTTTCAAAATGCTGACACGCTGAGCTCAAAAGTTTCGCCATCACTGCCCTAGAGAAAGGACCCAGCAATGCCATCATAACATATTCCATGGACTTTTTGTTAAGCCTTCACACAAAGGAACCCAGGCTATCTATCAAGGTAACTGGCAGGAGTGGAAAAAGATTTTTGTGGTTTATTAGATCTGGACTTAAAACTAATGCTGATCTCCAAAGACCTCAAATACTACCATAGCACATAGATCAGAATAAATCTTAGAAAGGTCAAGATAATAAAGTCCTGGCCCAAGTGTATCTCAGAGTAGCAGCAGTAGGGCAGCAGACTGATGCCATGGGTAATTCTCCAGTTCCAAAAGATGGAGTAAAAATCAATACCCTTAGCTTGGCCAATGTTGAGCATCAGCCATGAACTAAGAGGTCACGCTTTCAATTCCCAGTCAGGGCGCATGCCCGGGTTGTGGGCTCGATCCCCAGTGGGGTGCATGCAGGAGGCAGCCAATTGGTGTTTTACTCTTAAGATTTCTATCTCTCTATACAGCTCTTTTCCTCTCCCTCTAAAAAATTCAATAAAAACATATATTTTTTAAAAATCAATACACTTAGAAAGTCTCAAATTCACTACATTGGTTTTCTGACCCAAAGATTTAGAGCTATCATGGTAGCCAGGGCCAAGTGGAAGTCCATGAAACTAGCAAGATAATAAGCCAAAAAGAAGTTTAAGTGACTGGGATACTACCGAAATTTATGTTACAATCAATACAAAATTCAGTGGTCGTAATTGTGACCCCATCCTTGTCTATTTAGCTAGTGTAAATGCTAAATGGCTTATGGATAATAACCGTAGACCAGCGAGTAATTCTCAACGCTTTCATCTCATGGCACACATAAACCAATTACTAAAGTTCTGCAGCACACCAAAAAATGTATTTTTGTCCCAATCTGACAAAAAATAGGTATGCTTTGATTCATTCACATTGGATGGCTACTATTGTATTGGTTATTGTCATTTTTTTTATTTGACCATCTAAGGAGGAAGTGGTTAGTGCATCTGACTAAACAGGCATTGCATGTTTTAAAAATTCTTACAACACACTGGTTGAAAATCGCTGTTGCAGTGGACTATTGCAAACTTAACCACACAGTGGTACCATTCACAATGGTGATTCTGTATGTCAAATCTTTATTACAGAAAATCAACAGATTCCCTGGCACCTGAAATACATCTATAGAATTACAGTTGCTCTTATTCTATTACAGTCAGCAAAGATAATCACACACAGTCTCCCTCTATATAACAAGGCAAATGGTATATACTATACCTTAGTACATAGTATACTTTTGCTATCTGTCTACCCTTCCAATAGTGCTTCTATTCGATTCACAAGGCATCTTGTTTAGGGCCATAATACTGCATATTGCTGTTTTAAGAGCTGTGGCAAA